TGTCCTCAGTCCTCACTGTCCTCTGCCATCACTGTCCTCTGTCCTCACTGTCCACTGTCCTCACTGTCCTCTGTCCTCACTGTCCTCTGTCCTCACTGTCTAAAGAGCGAAGAAGACAAGATGTCCAGCACCAAAACCAGTGTTCCCAGTGGCGGGGCACTACTCGCTGGACGACGCCATGGCCTGTTTCGATGCAGAGCAGTGAATCGGATGATTCCTCCAGAAAAGGCGATGCTGCCGCGGCCTCCTCCCACATGGAGGGCGTGATGGCGGAAGAAGGACGGCCGCGCAGATGCTCAGCCACCTCGTGTCTTCCTACGTCGGCGACCACTCGGCTCCCAGCTGTCGGAGCCGTCCTCCCGGAAGAGACACGCCGGCCCCGCTGTGACGTCATACTGGAACAAGGCTACAGCTGGGCCCGGTGAAGGCGCCCGTCTCCACCTTCACCTCCATCACCAGAGTGGAGGTGTTTACCGAGCTGAGTTTTCCTTCGGTTCCCCCTCTGGAGCAAAGTCTTCCAGGATGGACCAACGCCCCGTCCCTCCAGGGAAGCACGATCAGCTGATCAGTGTTTCTTCCGGTCGGCCGCGTCAAACCCTGCTGGTTTTCAGCATCTCGAAGAGGCTGGAGGAAGCAGACCTGGAGGAGAAGAGCTCCCTCTGCAAAGCTGCAGACGCCGTCCTCAACCTGTGCGCCACCTCTGCGGTTTAATTGTCCGCGTGGCCGCCAGCACATGGTCCTGAGGACCACCTGCACGTGGGCCTGAGGACCACCTGCACATGGTCCTGAGGACCACCTGGCTCTGCCTCTCGCCATCTGTGCCCGAGAGGCTTCAGAGGGATGGAGGGCCCCATCACCCCAGATTCACTGTTCGGGTCCAACTTCAGGAGCATCCTTGAGACATCTCGGGACGGAGGGGGTCTCAGACGGTACACCACCTGTTTCGTCGATTGAACTTTTTTAGATGTTTCCACCTGGATTATTGAGCATGCATCAGGATACTTTTGTTGATTGTCACAGGAATTAAGTCACTAAACTTTTTTTATTTAGCTGAAACAGGAAAAATAACTTTTCATCAACCCACTTTGCCAGAATTATTTTTAATTAAACATTTTGTTTGTACAAAGGAAGAATAAAAACATTCCAACCAGGTGGAAAAGTTTAATTATATTAATTAACATTTATATTTAGTCACTTCTGCTTCTGCACACTGTCTCTTGTGTTTGATGGGAGACTGAGACGAAGTGAAGACTCAACACAATCTGCTGCTTCCTCAGAGAGAGAACTTTAATAATCGTTTTTTATAAAGTCTGTGAATGTTTCTGTTCAGAGCCCTGAGATAAATAAACTGAACTGATCTGAACTTCCTGAATACAAACACGAAGACTGACCCAACCGTTTTCACTTCGGTCCAATAAAGGTTTCCATGGAGACAGCACATCTGTCAATCAACAATCGTCCCAGCAGCTCAGCCAATCAGAGACAGGAACTCCTCAGCCAATCAGAGACAGGAACTCCTCAGCCAATCAGA